ACTTTGTCAGATTGTAGTAGTCCGGCCTTCTTGTCAGATCCAAAGACTCACCGTACTCGGCCAATAGAGGGCGCTACAGCGATCAAAAATGCAATGTCATAGACTCAATTGGATCTTATATCATTGGATTCCTTAGCTCAATCAAAACAAAATGGCTATCTCCGATTTCATTTCCGTCTGATAAAATTTTTTTTGTCAGAAACCTACTTTTGCGAACTAGTCCTAGGTTTTTCCCCCGGTCGGAACCAAACCAGTGCAGAAATGTTCTTTGGACAATAAATATAAAAAAATGATCCAAAAAAAAGTTTGAAATTTCAACTCACCGTCGCTTAGGGACGCAAAAAAATCTGTTAGGGACTGGGCCATTTTTACTAAAATGGCTATAACTCCTGAACGGACTGAGATGTCTTCACCAAACTTGGTACTCATGTGTGCAAGTTCAATCTTTGGTCAAATAAAAACAATTCGCAGTTCTGCCACTTGGTGGCGCTATAAGACGAAAAAAACCTAAAAATGACTATAACTATGCAACTGTTGGTCCGATCGACTTGAAAATTGGTATGCATGTGTCTTCGTCCAAAGGGGCACAAGTGTCTATGAGGACATTCGCGTATCTAAAAACACATGGCCGCCAATTGGTCAAAGAAGTTTAAGCACCTATTGGACAAGGTTAACGGAGGTCGATCAGAACAAAACTCGGTGGGCATATTCGACTCATGGCCCTAAAGGTCTGTAAGAATTTTGAAAGAAAATGGCCACTAGTTGGCGCTAACGAGCTTTTTTGGCTCAGTAATCATGTGGTGTTTCACAAATCCACACAATATGCATATCATTCGATAGACCTCCTCATAAACAACTTTGCCTCAAGAACCATTGCTGTCAGTCAAATCATTCATTAATTATTCACAAATATGTTCAAAACCTACTTTTGCGAACTAGTCCTAGGTTTTTCGCTCAATCTCAATCAAACCACTGCAGCGATATTCTCTGGACTCTTTAGATCAATAATTAAATTTTTTTTTTTTTAATTTTGTCCTTTGGTTATCTTTAACGGGGTACTTTAGAAAAGGGGTGTGGTCAAATATACCCATAAGCATATAAAACTTAAACGAAAACTCGGTGACTCGAAACTTGGTGAAACCATGTGTCAGATGACTCTTAACAAGCATGCAAAGTTTCATGGAGATCGGACCATAGGTGGCGCTATAACAGTTAAAAAGACCTCAAAAACACAAAATTTGAATAGAAAATGACCTCATATTGTAGAACATGTACATATATTCACAGAAACACCAGATCTTCATATCATATGATAGAACTCCTCATTCTGAACAACTTCGCCTCTGGGACTAATGCTGTCAGTCAAATCGTTAATTAAATATTTTAAATTATGTTACAAACCTACTTTTGCGAACTAGTCCTAGCTTTTTCGCTCAATCTCGATCAAACCCCTGCAGTGTTATTCTCTGGACTCTCTAGATCAATAATTATCAAAAAAATGTAGAATTTTGTCCTTTGGTTACCTTTAATGGGGTCATTTAGAAATGGGGTCTGGTCAAATATACCCAAAACATGTGTCAGATGACTCTTAACAAGCATGCAAAGTTTCATGGAGATCGGACCATAGGTGGCGCTATAAAAGTTAAAAAGGCCTCAAAAACACAAGATTTGTATAGAAAATGACCTCAATATGTAGAACATGTTCATATATTCGCACAAGCACTAGATCTTCATATCATATGATAAATCTCCTCATTCTGAACAACTTTGCCTCTCTGACCAATGCTGTCAATAAAACTGTTAATTAAATATGTGAGATTATTTAAAACACCTACTTTTATGAACTAGTCATAGATTTTAAACTCAAAATCAATAAAATCAGTGCAGTACTATTCTCTAGACTCTCTAGGTCAATAATTATCAAAAAAATGGTTTTATCAAAAACACATTTTTACAACTATAAACCAGTAATTTTATAATATGTTCTTTACATAGTGTACCCAAAGGCCTATAAATCATAAAAGAAAGCCTACAACATCTCTCAAAACTGTGTAAAATGATACATAATTTCGTTCAAAACAAGCATGCAAAATTTAAGAGAGATTGGGCAAAAAAATGACACTATAATAGTTGTAAAGGTTAAAAACACGGTGTTGTATGAGAAATTGCAATTATAACCACTAGATGGCAGTGGAAGACCACTAATGGGCTCATTAAATGCCCTAAAACAGTACTGTTCATAGGTTAGGTTATGGATTCATGCTAAGATATTATAAAATCACTGTTATAACATTTAAAATCACATTGCGTCAAAGTTTACCATTTTGTTTATACAGACATATCCGTTTTTACAATTATGCCAGATTATGATTACAGTGAAACCTGAAAATGACATATTAACTCATAAAAATAGAAGACTTGCAATAAGTTTTGTCACCTATAATTTAACTCAAATATCTATATCTGCAACAAAATGTGTGTGCATGTATGTGTGTGTGTGTGTTTGTTTAAGCATGCTGATTGAGTATTAATATACTAGTTTAATAATTTCATTTCCGTGTGTGTGTGTGCGTGTATGTGTGTGTGTGTGTCTTTGAGCCTATTCTCTATATTGGATGTGTTTTACTGTCAGTCATACATCCAGGTTGGCCAAGACCACCTTAAAGGCCTTAAAATGCAAACACCAGATCTTCATATCATATGATAGAACTCCTCATTCTGAACAACTTCGCCTCTGGGACTAATGCTGTCAGTCAAATCGTTAATTAAATATTTTAAATTATGTTACAAACCTACTTTTGCGAACTAGTCCTAGCTTTTTCGCTCAATCTCGATCAAACCCCTGCAGTGTTATTCTCTGGACTCTCTAGATCAATAATTATCAAAAAAATGTAGAATTTTGTCCTTTGGTTACCTTTAATGGGGTCATTTAGAAATGGGGTCTGGTCAAATATACCCAAAACATGTGTCAGATGACTCTTAACAAGCATGCAAAGTTTCATGGAGATCGGACCATAGGTGGCGCTATAAAAGTTAAAAAGGCCTCAAAAACACAAGATTTGTATAGAAAATGACCTCAATATGTAGAACATGTTCATATATTCGCACAAGCACTAGATCTTCATATCATATGATAAATCTCCTCATTCTGAACAACTTTGCCTCTCTGACCAATGCTGTCAATAAAACTGTTAATTAAATATGTGAGATTATTTAAAACACCTACTTTTATGAACTAGTCATAGATTTTAAACTCAAAATCAATAAAATCAGTGCAGTACTATTCTCTAGACTCTCTAGGTCAATAATTATCAAAAAAATGGTTTTATCAAAAACACATTTTTACAACTATAAACCAGTAATTTTATAATATGTTCTTTACATAGTGTACCCAAAGGCCTATAAATCATAAAAGAAAGCCTACAACATCTCTCAAAACTGTGTAAAATGATACATAATTTCGTTCAAAACAAGCATGCAAAATTTAAGAGAGATTGGGCAAAAAAATGACACTATAATAGTTGTAAAGGTTAAAAACACGGTGTTGTATGAGAAATTGCAATTATAACCACTAGATGGCAGTGGAAGACCACTAATGGGCTCATTAAATGCCCTAAAACAGTACTGTTCATAGGTTAGGTTATGGATTCATGCTAAGATATTATAAAATCACTGTTATAACATTTAAAATCACATTGCGTCAAAGTTTACCATTTTGTTTATACAGACATATCCGTTTTTACAATTATGCCAGATTATGATTACAGTGAAACCTGAAAATGACATATTAACTCATAAAAATAGAAGACTTGCAATAAGTTTTGTCACCTATAATTTAACTCAAATATCTATATCTGCAACAAAATGTGTGTGCATGTATGTGTGTGTGTGTGTTTGTTTAAGCATGCTGATTGAGTATTAATATACTAGTTTAATAATTTCATTTCCGTGTGTGTGTGTGCGTGTATGTGTGTGTGTGTGTCTTTGAGCCTATTCTCTATATTGGATGTGTTTTACTGTCAGTCATACATCCAGGTTGGCCAAGACCACCTTAAAGGCCTTAAAATGCTTGAACCCCGGTAATTGCTGCTTGCAGCTATATTTTATTATTATTTTTATTATTTGCATATTCATTCTTGCTCTTTGTATACTTTCCCTTTTATTACTACTCTAAAGCAATTGTGATAAATGTGTAAACGATTAGGAAAACTGCATTTCTTGTGTTGAGTGTATGATTAACCGAATAGTTATCAGTTTAGAGCCAATCGAAAATATACCATGTTCATTTGATAGAATGACAAATTACAGAGTTTGGTTTGTTGTGTTTTGGACAAATGGTACATAAATGATTGTAATTTGTGTAAAACCTTTTTTTCATTTCAGATATTTTGAAGTATTGGTTGGTTGTATTAACTATTGTGAAAACATTTGAGAGTTTTGTGCATATTGTTTTGAGGAAATTACTTGCATGATTTGTAATTTGTTTGAAATGAATGAAAACATACAATCTGTACAATTATAAAGTGTTCAGGTCACTGTTAACTTTTTTGAGAACAGTGACCTGAGTTTGGAGAAATGTGTCAAATCGATTGGGAAAAACTGTAAGATATATACAAATGAATATTATTTACTGCCATCTGATTATATGCATATGTGTGTGTGTGTGCGTGTGTGTGTGTATACAGTAGTCAACATTTGAAGTGGATCAAAAAAGTTCATCAAACGCATTTTGGTTTTAGGACAACTTTAATGAAAGGTTTTGATCCACTTCAAATGTTGACTAGTGTATATATATATATGTATATATATATATATTCTTTTTTTTTTTTTTTTTTACAAGTCAATCTATTGAACCAATTTCACAGATTTTAATGTACGAGTCCCTAAATGATTTCTCATGGACAAAATGTTGTATTACAGCCTTCATCATTTCACAATGTAAGAAAACAACATTAACGACATTTGGCATATTACAATAACCTGTATATCACTATCTGCAGGTATTAATCATGGACCTGTGATAGCTGGGGTGATTGGAGCTCAGAAGCCCCAGTATGACATCTGGGGCAACACAGTGAATGTAGCAAGCAGAATGGACAGCACAGGAGTGCTGGGAAAAATACAGGTAAGAGGGTTTATAATAAGAGTTTTATTATTATTATTATTAACTGTGCAGAACCATTGTTTGCTTCTTTATTGGTTTTTAATATTTTTAATTGCCTCAAATCCTTTCACTAGATGTTTGATTACAGTTAAAGTAACTCTGTGTGTAAAACCAGTGGGATTAGGAGAATGCTCATGCTTTGAACAACTTGTAGTGCGATGACTCATTAACCCATTTAATTCCTGTGTGTGTGTGTGTGTGTGTGTGCAGGTTACAGAAGAGACGAGTCGTATCTTGCAGACATTAGGCTACATGTGCACATGCAGAGGAATTATAAATGTGAAAGGGAAAGGAGAGCTCAAAACATACTTCGTCCACACTGAGATGAGCCGGTCTTTATCCCAGGGGAATGTAATGCCATGAAGCATAGCAACAAACATGCAATGAACTGCAGACATCTACAAACGGGAATACAAGGGACATTTGTAAATAATTGCTCCTAGTCTTTAGATGCACGAAATATTGGATGTATTGAAAGTGATACCATTTCTACTGTATCTCATAGGCAGGTTTTGTGCACAGGGTACTACTGTAAGTATGGTAGCAATTATTTTGTAAGAAAATCAAATATAACAAAAAGTGTTTTGATGTTTTAATGCCATTTTTCTTTTCTTTGTTTTTCTTTTTTAAAAACTTCATTAAACTTTATATGTACTTGTCTTTCTGAGGGCATCTTTATTTTTAAGACATTTAAGAGTTTTTGATACGCTGTAGTTACAAATGACAGGAATAAGCTAGTACTTAAATGTTTCTGTGTCGTGTCACTAACATGCTGTGCATGATGTGTCACATATTTACACCAAGGGCATATAGATGTAGCTTTGGACAGTTGGGACATATCCCTATGAGAGTTGTGAATGCAATATAGTATTCTATGTTTGTATGTCTGTTTCGTGTTTTTATTCATAATGAAAATACTTTTTTCCCTTTACACATTTCATGAACATAAGGTGTACTGTCAAGTTGTTCTGTGCAATCTCTGTGCACCTTCTTTGAGCACTGGACCACTGTCAACAATTTCCGAGAGGTGTTTTCTGTTTCATTATTGTCACAAGTGGACAAATAATGGGCTAAAACAGCAGTAAAAAAGTAGTTTTTCTGAACTTTATATTTAATGTATTCATTGTTCAGTTGTAGGTCGCCAAATGAAAGTAAAGTTGGACATACTTTGTTTTTTTCGGCATTTTTATCTTTATAGGACAGTATTGACGGGAAACGAGGTGTGAGAGAGAAGGGGGACAGGATTGGGAAAGGACCGCGAGCCGGGACTCTAACTCGGGTCACCCAAAGCACAACAGCACTATACAGTGGGTACGGAAAGTATTCAGACCCCCTTAAATTTTTCACTCTTTGTTATATTGCAGCCATTTGCTAAAATCATTTAAGTTAATTTTTTTTTCCTCATTAATGTACACACAGCACCCCATATTGACAGAAAAGCACAGAATTGTTGACATTTTTGCAGATTTATTAAAAAAGAAAAACTGAAATATCACATGGTCCTAAGTATTCAGACCCTTTGCTCAGCATTTAGTAGAAGCACCCTTTTGATCTAATATAGCCATGAGTCTTTTTGGGAAAGATGCAACAAGTTTTTCACACCTGGATTTGGGGATCCTCTGCCATTCCTCCTTGCAGATCCTCTCCAGTTCTGTCAGGTTGGATGGTAAACGTTGGTGGACAGCCATTTTTAGGTCTCTCCAGAGATGCTCAATTGGGTTTAAGTCAGGGCTCTGGCTGGGCCATTCAAGAACAGTCACAGAGTTGTTGTGAAGCCACTCCTTCGTTATTTTAGCTGTGTGCTTAGGGTCATTGTCTTGTTGGAAGGTAAACCTTCAGCCCAGTCTGAGGTCCTGAGCAATCTGGAGAAGGTTTTCATCCAGGATATCCCTGTACTTGGGGATATATTCATCTTTCCCTCGATTGCAACCAGTCGTCCTGTCCCTGCAGCTGAAAAACACCCCCACAGCATGATGCTGCCACCACCATGCTTCACTGTTGGGACTGTATTGGACAGGTGATGAGCAGTGCCTGGTTTTCTTCACACATACCGCTTAGAATTAAGGCCAAAAAGTTCTCATCAGACCAGAGAATCTTATTTCTCACTATCTTGGAGTCCTTCAGGTGTTTTTTCATGTGTCTTGCACTGAGGAGAGGCTTCCGTCGGGCCACTCTGCCATAAAGCCCCGACTGGTGGAGGGCTGCAGTGATGGTTGACTTTCTACAACTTTCTCCCATCTCCCGCCTGCATCTCTGGCGCTCAGCCACAGTGATCTTTGGGTTCTTCTTTACCTCTCTCACCAAGGCTCTTCTCTCCCGATAGCTCAGTTTGGCCGGACGGCCAGCTCTAGGAAGGGTTCTGGTCGTCCCAAACTTCTTCCATTTAAGGATTATGGAGGCCACTGTGCTCTTAGGAACCTTAAGTGCAGCAGAATTTTTTTTGTAACCTTGGCCAGATCTGTGCCTTGCCACAATTCTGTCTCTGAGCTCTTCAGGCAGTTCCTTTGACTTCATGATTCTCATTTGCTCTGACATGCACTGTGAGCGGTAATGTCTTATATAGACAGGTGTGTGGCTTTTCTAATCAAGTCCAATCAGTATAATCAAACACAGCTGGACTCAAATGAAGGTGTAGAACCATCACAAAGATGATCAGAAGAAATGGACAGCACCTGAGTTAAATATATGAGTGTCACAGCAAAGGGTCTGAATACTTAGGACCATGTGATATTTCAGTTTTTCTTTTTTAATAAATCTGCAAAAATGTCAACAATTCTGTGTTTTTCTGTCAATATGGGGTGCTGTGTGTACATTAATGAGGAAAAAAATTAACTTAATTGATTTTAGCAAATGGCTGCAATATAACAAAGAGTGAAAAATTTAAGGGGGTCTGAATACTTTCCGTACCCACTGTATGTCTGCGCACTGCCCATGAGGCTATCGAAACAGACTACATATGAATTATTATTATTATTATTATTACAACATATAACACAATGTAATACAATGATGATTGAGAGATGTACAAATGAATCTTCCTCAAAAGCCTGATGTATCATATTTGATGCTCACATTTTAACATGATTTTTATTTTTAAAACATTATGTACAGATATTCAATTAATCTAAGTTGCTTCAGTGCAGTGTGTTTATCTTGAAATATTACTAACATTGTATGTTATTTTTATATTTACTTCATAAAAACATAGCAAAAGGTTTCACAAAAAAGACGTGTACCACAACCAAAAGGGAATGCTTTTAGAATTATACTAAAAGGTATTTTACTTAAAAAAACAAAAAAGGAAAAACTATTAAAGGGCAGAAGGCATGTATTAGATTGTGTACAACAGGGTTTTCAGTCAATTTTTGATAATGTTGAAACATTTAGAGACATTAGAAATGAGTGCATTAAATATGATACAGTAGGCTTTACAGAGTTAGTGTGGCTGTGTGTCTCTGGTTCTAAACTGTGCACAATTACTTTTTTTCAGTTTAGAAGTTACAAAATGTATCCATGTTCCATCATGAGCACCAACTGAAAGCCATGACAACACAAAACATGCAAACTCAACACAGACAGCCCTTATTGGCTGGCCTGAGAGAATTGTCAAGATGTTGACAAGATAATTTATTGAAATCAAATTTCAATAAGAAATGAGAACATTTAAATGATAAAATGAGAGATATACAATACCATTTATTTTAAGAAATCAAATTGTGAACAAAGAGTGAAAAATTTAAGGGGGTCTGAATACTTTCCGTACCCACTGTATATATTTAAAAAAAAAAAATCTTACATTTCTGTATTCTATTGGGGCCTGTACCATGAAAACATATTAATTTGAACTAATCATCTGAGCACAGTGACATCTCTGATGGAGACACACTTTAAAAATGTAGTATTGATTTGTGTTTAACTTTTAATGACATTTTTGTACTTTGTACTCAGCATTTATATGCTGCTGTGTCTTGGCGTTAGTGTGACATCTATAATAATAATTTGATGAAGCTGTTTTGGCAACGTGCAATCAATCCATTGACCAAAAACCTGAATTTGTTTCTCTTTGTGGTACAGCCCTGTGTTCTCAAACTTGCTTGATGTTTTCTTTTCAGTGCTAGGATGATATTTGTCAAAAATAATTTTGGGTGACTCGCATATGTCCATGTCTGTTTGGGTCAGATGGAAAATAACTGAATCTGAAAATCATATTCTGAAATTAATTTTACACGTTAGACTGCATCTCAGAATAAATGGTCTCTTCTGAGCTGCTAAAAATGGGCTGAGGTGAATCTCTTTCACAGCTCAGACAGATAAACCTTGACTTGTACACCTGAGAGTGTTTACTGTAGGACAGTGCACTTCAGCTGGGCTGTTAATCAGCAGGCTTACATTTGGCCTTTAATCCACAGGTTCATGCATTTAAAGACGAGACCCAGCAGATGGTCTTGAGAGGCACTCAGAAAACCATATGACAATGTACGACGACAATATTTATGATGGATTTACAGGTTTAGATGTCAAGGAGCTTGCTGTGGTTCGAAGGATCTTTCGTATGGTTCTACAGACAGCTGAGCATGTTTATTTATTCAAATGTTCAGGGTAAACATCAGTTAAAATACAGAAAAGGATCAGAAAGACAATGTCTACATTTGTACACGATCATTTTAAAAGGCGATTATTTGACATCACACAGGAGGGCCACTCCTCTCAGGATCCAGTATTCTGGAGGGTGACTGGTTCTCAGGTCAACAGCTGCAATGTAGTTCAGGTCTGTTCGAACAGACATTTTATATATTGGACATGAGTACAAGCGAGGATCTTTGACACCTTAGGAAAGATACAGTTATATAGCAATTAGGTTTTGCATGCTTATACTAAAAGGACTATTAACTGAAAAGTTAAGAAAAAAAATTCTTACTTGCAAATGTTAATCCATTGCATAGTTTAAATGAGTCCAAATCATATTAATTTAGGCTAAAATAACAATTCAACCCCCCGGAAATTAACATACAATACCCTCCACAAATATCGGCACACTTGGTAGCCATGGGGGGAAAATTTATTTGGTTTTTAGTATTTAATGTTACATTTAATAAAATGTAGCCTTTTATTAAAGTTAAATCAATAACATAAAATACAATTTCCCAACTATTGGCACCCCTCCAGTTAATACTCCCTTCGCAAACACTGAAAAGTTCAACTAAAAGTGAAACTACCATGTCATTTATTTAAAGTGCATTCTTATATTGTCTTAAACCTGTTTTGTTTACATTGTCTAAAAGCAAATGACACTCGCTGGGCTGCAGAAATGATTTTAGTACATAACAGAAAATCTTTATTCATGTTTTACATAATTTACCTGAAGTTAAGAATCAGTCCGGGGTATTTATAAGATGACATCTCACACTGTGCATTCCTAAACCCTGGTTTAAACTTATTTGCATATTGCAAAATAAATAAAGTATACTCTGTATGGCATATGGATATTCTCCTTTTAATCCGTGTGTTTTGTCCATATCAACTGATAATTACAATCAGGTGCATAAAATCAAGCATTCAGTCACACAATAGCTGAATTTGTAGTAACATTCTAAGCATACACTACTATTTCAGCCCAATATCGATAGCGGCTGCTTAGGTGTTAGTCTGCACTTGCCATAATATTGATTTTCTGACCTGAGTATCCAAGATCATTATTCAACCAGCTACTGTTTATTGAAGATTAATCAGTGTGACAGTCTTTGAACTAGAAGCCTGGGTCCACAAAGGGTGCCAAAAGAACATACTTTTTTTTTTCTTCTTCTTCTTCTTTTAGTTTTAATCTCTTCTTTGTCATGTATTTCTGCTGGAACATCAGAAGGCTATCTGCTTTAAATTACATTTTGTTGTTATGTTCCTTTATTTAAAGGGGTCATATGATGCGATTTAAATTTTTCCTTTCTCTTTGGAGTGTTACAAGCTCTTGGTGCATAAAGAAGATCTGTTGCAAAAAAAAAAA